GTAAGTTAGGACCTTAACCCAGTATGACTGGCGTCCTTATAAGAAGAGAGACGCAAGAGAAGGCCATGTGACGACAGAGGCAGAGATTGGATTGATGCAACCACAAGCCAAGGAACGCTTGGGTCTACCAGAAGCTGGGCAACTGAACCCTAAAAAGCAAAACCACGGATTAGGGGAAACTACTATATATTAATGCAGACCAGTAGCTTTATTGCTAGCTTTACCCAGTGGCCAAATAAGTTTCTATTGAATGAGTACAAAAAACATTTTGCATAAATGTTAAAGGCACACTTTAAAATTAAATATCCATTGCAGTTTGAAGCTATTTATTACATGTTCTCAAAAGCTAGTATCTTTTTGCCAAAGCAGGTTTGGCTCAGTGCTTAGAGCGTCGGCCTGCGGACTGAAGAGTCCCAGGTTCGATTCTGGTCAAGGGCATGTGCCTTGGTTGTGGGCACGTCCCCAGTGGGAGATGTGCGGGAGGCAGCTGATCGATGTTTCTCTCTCATCGATGTTTCTGACTCTCTATCTCTCTCCCTTCCTGTCTGTAAAAAATCAATAAAATATATTTTTAAAAAAAAAAGCTAATATCTTTTTAAAGTATGATACTTTGCAAAACACTGTGTAATATGAAGTGAGAATTCTCCTGATCCGTCCGCAATGTGTTAAGGAACTGGCCTAGTCTGATTTATCTATCTGTCCTCTGTGAGTTCGCTTAGTAAAAGTCAATTCCCTGAGAACCAGAACCTAGGGGTGTAATGATCAACATCAGGCTCTGCCCCTGCAAAACAAGAGTTCCACCCAGACACCCCGTCCGGAGGCCAGTAAGAAGAATCAAATCAGGATGGCCTTGGATGTTCATTTCTTCTCCAACTTCTGGTAGCTCAACACAGAGCTGACTTGGCAGGTCTGAGTTAGATCCGGGGAAGAACATGCTGATAGTATGGACATACCAAGTTATGGAGGGTCCACCTTTCTAACAAGGCCACTCCCAGGACCAGGGATATTGGCTGACCCCTGCCCGGGTTCCTCTCTAGGTAACTCATGCCATGCTGTGAACAGCGGCAGCCTGGACACCTCCTATCTGATGACAAGAGCTTGGGATTGTGGGCATGTACGCCTCCCCCACACCCAATTCCATGTACCAGGTGCCCCAGCCACCCAGCCAGCCTCTCTGCTCCATCGGCCTCTCTCCTCTGCCCTCTCTAACTTTAACACCCACACACTAAAGGCACCTGCTGGCTGCTGAGTGACACATGTCACACAGAGGCTCTGTTCTCAAGGGGCTCACAGATCAGCGGAGGCATGATCCTTACATGTTTCGGAGCATTTCAGATCTCCTGCTTGATACAAAACAGCCCTATGCTGGTGACACACTTATCCTGTGTGAGGGGCAGAGGTTCCAAAGTGAGGAGGAGTGAAGCAGCATGCAGAGTGGATAGACAGCCTCAGGCCTAGGGCTCAGGCCTTTGGACTGAAATTTTGGTGTCCCTTCCCTGTGCTTGACTGTGACTACATCCTATATAGTAAAAGCGTAGCATGCAAATTGTCCCCTCGAACAGGAGTTCAACCAGGGGTTGGGGCTGGCCGGGGAAAGGGAGGGAGGCCCCAGGCAGCAGCGGCAGGAGGCCCTGGCCGGCAGCGGTGGTAGTGGTGGTGGTGGTGGTGGTGGTGTGGCTGGCAGCCCCTAGGGCAGTGATGGCAAACCTTTTGAGTATGGCGTGTCAGCATTTTGAAAAACCCCAACTTAACTCTGGTGCCGTGTCACATATAGAAATTTTTTGATATTTGCAACCATAGTAAAACAAAGGCTTATATTTTTGATATTTATTTTAAATATTTAAATGCCATTTAACAAAGAAAAATCAACCAAAAAAATGAGTTTGCGTGTCGCCTCTGACACGCGTGTCATAGGTTCGCCATCACTGCCCTAGGGACCTTTCAGTGCACGAAGTTCATGCACTGGGCCTCTAGTCCAATAATAATAAGATCCATAAACCTTAAGAAACTAAGCATCCAGCATCCAATTTTTTAAATTACTATTACCCAGTAAAGTCTGTAATGCTAGACATGGGGGTATCTGTATCAGACCGTCCCATTCCCAGTAACCTCGTAATAAAAGCTGAACATTGAAACAGATTTGTTCAAGTCGGTGATGGGGAAAGGATACAAGTCCTGACTACAACAAATGCTCCTGTGCCACTGCTAAATGGCATGGCCCAGCTGGCGCGGGAAACGGGGCATAAGGCCCCAGCAGAGCCAAACGGTAGTTCTGCCGGAGAGCTAGTTCAAGCCAGCAGACAGCATCTGTTTAGTAAACCAGGAGGAAAAATACTCTGTATCCTCAGCTTCTCCCATCAGAAGCTCTTACAACATAACAACTGACAAAACAAAAGGGCTTTGAGGTTCAAAGGATGTGCTTCACAGCTTCCTTTTAATCGGGGCTGATTTCCCAACTCATCCTAGGTCTACTAAATCATGATTTAGTGCTTTCAGGGTTCAGACATCAACATTTTCAAATTTCCCAGGGGATTCTGATATGCAGTTCAGCCACAGATTGGAGACTGGATGGAACCTGCCTGGTCCCCAGACTATGAAACTCTCCTGGTAAACAGGCCCCTCGGCCCCTCCCTTCTCCCCAGGCACCAGCTGTCCAAGGTAGTACGTTTGTGAACTAGAAATCACAGACAACTGCTGTGGACCTTTAAGGAGCAGTGAACATTTCATGCCAATTTCCACCCAAAACTGGGTGGATCATCAATTTCTACTTCAGTGCCTTCAGTAATGGGTGTCTATCACACTCCCAACAGCTGGCCCTACTGCTGGCCTCATCTGGCAGTTAAGAAGTTCTGGATATAGACAGGGTGGAGCATGGGGGTTAGGGCTTGACCTCAGGAACCCGGCTGCTGGCATTCCAATCCCTGCTTTGCTTCATATTAACTAAGCCACCTCGCCAAGTTCATCTAGGAGACTGGGATCATAACGACCTACGTTGTAGGCATGCTGTGAAGACTAAATAGATTGATACAGGAAAAGTGCCCAGAACAAATGCTGGAACGTTCAAGTGCTATGAGTAGTGTTACTGCAGCCAAATCTGCCTGCATAACACCCACCTGCAGGTCACAACCTGCCATCTCCAGCTACACAGAATGAACGGACTCTTCCACATACTCCAATGCCTGTTTATCTCCCGGCTGATATGCCCAGCTCTTCTAGACCCCTGGAAGACACGGTTCCCAGGCCTTTCACCACCCAGCCTCAAAACAAACTCTTCTATGACTAAGTTCTTACAAAATAGGAATGAAACTGACTGTGGCCAGGGTAGGAAGTCCCATCAGTGGCTTCCCCTGCCCAAAAAAGCAGAGGAAGAGTGAGGAGTGTGTGTGTGTGTGTGTGTGTGTGTGTGTGTGTGTAGGGAGTGAGCAAGAATGAGTGTGAAAATGTGCAGGCCACAAATACTCAACTTCAGGAGAGGGAAACCCACCTCTGGCTTACAATCTGGACTCACCACCCTCCTCGGGTCCTACATCATCCCCTTTGTGGCTCTCAGACCTCCACCCTCCCTCAGCCAATGGGAGAAAAGCTTTCCTGGATGACCCAGGGTTGCTGTAACTAAGCAGCCTACTGGCTCACTGCTGCCATGCTGGTCCTCCTGAAACACTCCCTCCATGGTGTTACTAGCCCAGCATGAAAACGCAGGGTTAATACCCATCGGACTCATCCATCTTTCACTGTCCTTCTCAACCTGACCCATTCTCCCAGCATGCCTCAGGCTTGGGCTCCCAGATCTGACCCTGCACCCTGCTGCCCCTCACCTGTAGGCTGGGCTCACAGGTTGGGGATTGGCACTGGACAGGAAGACAGGAGGCCCACCCTGTTCCTCCCCAAGGCCACTCCTGGCCGCCATCTCCATGAAGCTACACAGTGTAAGCACACACACGTCCCAGAACATCAGGTCTGAAAGAGCAGTGGTCCAACCCCTCATTTTATAGAAGAGGGAAACTCTGGAATGAGGAGGCCCGAGAATGGGGCCAGGGGGCATATCTGAGCAAGAGTGCTATTCACCAGACAGCCAGAACTGGCAAGAGAGGCTGCCCCTGCTCCCACACCTCCAACAGGCCTGGCTGATCCTTCCTACCAAGAGCCAGTGGGGCACCGATGACACCGAGGTCCTGGCACAGTGACTGCTCTGCCTGGACACAGCCTGCTCCAGACCCAATCCCCACCTTACCTAGAGGATAAACCCTGGGAGTGGTGGGCAGGGACCTAGTTTCAGGTCTCCCCGCCCCACCCCAGGGCAGATAAGGGGCTGGGAGAGGTGTGTGTCCAACATCCTACCAAGAATAAAAGTACCAGATGTATTCATTCCCCTGAGGCCTTCATGTCTACCGCTCCCAGGATAACGTAATTCATTAAAACTAGCCAAGCGAGGGAGAGCGAAGGTGAACGCAAAGGGCCGACTTTGCAAAGGGGGAGAGAAGCCCTGTATACTGAAGGCGGGCGCGGGTTGGGGTGGCCCGAGGAGGGATACGGCGCACGCAACCTGCGCACCGGGCCCGCGCGGCCCAGCCCGATCCCCAAGTTGGAGGGTCCCGGGCTCTCCCCCCGCCCCCGGGGCCGCGCCCTGCCCCGCCAGCCAACCCGCTCAGGCGTGCGTCAGTCCGTCCGTCCGTCCGTCCTCCCCGCGGGGGCCCCGCGCGCCTTACCTGGTGCGCCATCCCGGCCGCAGCCTCCGCTCCAGCTTCCGGCCGCGGTCTCCGGCGCCCGCTCCCCCGCCCGCAGGTTGCGGCGCGACTCTCTGCGACACCGGCGGCCGCGGCCCAGGGGTTGGCGCGGGAGAAGGCGGGACCGGGGGCGCGGACCCGAAGGAGGGGCGCGAGAGGGCGCGCCCAGCCGGCCCCAAGCCTCGCTTCCCGGGAGGGGTGGTCCCGCTTCCGCCCGGAGACCCCGGCCTCGGCGCTTGCGGGGCGCAGGCGCGAACTACACTTCCCAGAGGGCGCCGCGGCCCGGGCGGCCTGGTTGAACCCCTCACCGCCGCAACCCGGACCCCGCGAAGCTGCCAGGAGGGGCTGGACGCTGGGACCCGCCTGGTGGCCAGTTTATGGTGGGCTTGCCCGCGTGTACGCATCCGTCCGTCCGTCCACCCGTCCATCCATCCATCCATCCATCCATCCATTCTTGCATCCAACATTTACTGAGCGCATCCTCTGTGCCAGGTGAGGACGCTCGGATGAAACGTGACCCGCCTCTGCGAGAGGGCCCGTCTCTTACACCGACCTTGGCCGAGGCCCCCCGGGGCGGGGAGGGGGGAGAGCGGGTCCTTCAGGGGTGGAGAGGGGCCGCAGGCTGCGGTCGTAAGTAGGCGGGAGTGGCTGCCAGACCTTGGCGCATCCTCACCCGTCGCCCGGCTCCCTCGCTCACCACAGCTTTGGCCGCGCGTCATTGCGCCTTGGGTGACTGTTTTCTGCACAGGATTGAGTGAGGGAGATGGATTGGAGACAGTGGTGTGCTTGAGCTGGCTTGCACCGGAGAGTCACTTGGGAGCATATCTTCCCAACTCCATGTTCAGTGACTTTATGGTTTGTAGCTTAAAATTGGCCGTGGTGGGATTATTTACACCGTGAAATTGGGAAACATTAAGCATCAGCAATGCCCGTTCCCCCAAGAGCTGGTTGTAAACATTTACCAGCACACTACTGATTTGGGGCAATGAAAACATGTAGAAATGGAGATAAAATAGCAATTTCACAAACAGTTTTTAAAACAACAACAACTTCATTTTAACCTTGGGGGGAAAAAATATAGAAAAAGTGAACCTGCCCTGGCCGGTTTGGCTCAGTGGATAGAGCGCAGCCTGCAGACCGAAGAGTCCCGGTTCTATTCCAGTCAAGGGCATGTACCTCGGTTGCAGGCTCCTCCCCAGCCCCGGCCCTGGTCAGGGCTCCTGCAGGACCACCAATCCACATCGATATTTCTCTCTGTCTTTCCCTCTTTCTTCCACACTTTAAAAAATCAATGGAAAAATATCCTCGGGTGAGGATTAAAAACAAAGAAGAAAAAGTGAACCTAAACTAAGTCTATGAAGAACAAGAACTGTGATAAGTGAAATAAAAAGTCAGAGTTGGAGCAGCCTATCATCCTTGGGCTGTGGTGTTCAGTGACAGGGTTTTAAATCACCCCTGACTTTTTTCCAGATTTGAGAGGGCTCAGTATCCTAAGCCTGGACTAGGGAAAGACGTTAAATCTTCAACATCAGCTCTAATGAGCAAGAGTGACAGCTAGGAGGGGGTATCTGAGTTTGAACCAGGAACCTCTTGGTCTGCAGTCAAATACTCTACACTTGAGCTACAGACATACACCCAAGTAATACCTTTTGCCTATGTAGTCATGCCCAATATTCCCACAAAATGTTGCCACCACTGTTCATTCAGGTTGGGCCTCCTGAAAGCTACCAAGCCTGCCTCGCTGCAATTTATCTTCCTGATGCAAAGCAAGCACCAGGTTCCCTTTGCTATAGCCACCTGCCTGCCCTTTCTGGAAAAGCACTGACAATTATAGCTGGAAGGGGCCTTTCTCAGATTTCCTGTACTCAGGAATCATATTGGGAACTTGTCAAACATGATCTGGCGTTAGGAACAAGCTCCTTATGGAGGGTCAGGAAACCCCACTTTGAGAAACACCTGTCATGGATCTACATCTGCTTCCTTTTTCGCCACCTGCTGGAAGACTCCGGTACTGAAATACCCAAGTAGGGCGATAGGCTGAGAATTCTAGCACCAGTCTCAGGACTAGCCAGAGCTGGTGGGGAGAGCCAGGATTGAAACCAAGGACCACAGTCAACTGCTCATACTCTGAACTCCGCTGTAGACGAGTGGTCCTTAATTTTATGTGCATCAGAACCCTACCATTCATCTGGAGGGCTTACTAAAACAAAGATGACAGTCCCACCCTAAAAATTTCTGATGAACAAGTTTTCAGGTCATGCTGATGCTGCTGGTCCGGGGCCATACTTTGAGAGCCACTGCTCTAGACCGTCACCCACCTGGGACCAGACACTCTCACACTGCAGCCACACCGAGGGTGCCTGCTCACCAGTGTTTCTTCTGCATGCCCCACATTCCCAAAGGTTTCCATGGCTTTACCCATCCACACTCCAGATCTCCTCCCTCTACCATCCTTTCTTTCTTAAAGAAAAGCCCTTCCATTCTCACTCCCGCCCCACTCAGGGTGGTCATCAGACCTCCTTCAAGCTCTCTCTGTCTGCAGTCTCTCCCTCTCCATAGAGACCTGCTAAGGCAGATCCATCTCACTGGATGATGAATTCTGGGAGAATTTATTTTTTTTTCTTAATTACATCTTTATTGTTCAGATTATTACATTTGTTCCTCTTTTTTCCCCCCATAACTCCCCTCCTCCCAGTTCCCGCCCCACCCTCCGCCCTCATTCCCCACCCACTGTCCTCATCCATAGGTGCACGATTTTTGTCCAGTCTCTTCCTGCATCTCCCACACCCCTTTCCCCTCCAAGAATAGTCAGTCCATTCCCTTTCTATGTACCTGATTCTATTATGATCACCAGATTATTTATTCACTTGATTCTTAGATTCACTTGTTGATAGATGCATGTTTGTTGTTCATAATTTGTACCTTTACCTTTTTCTTCTTCTTCCTCTTCTTAAAGGATACCTTTCAGCATTTCATATAATACTGGTTTGGTGGTGATGAACTCCTTTAGCTTTTCCTTATCTGTGAAGCTCTTTATCTGACCTTCAGTTCTGAATGATAGCTTTGCTGGGTAAAGTATTCTTGGTTGTAGGTTCTTGGTATTCATCACTTTGAATATTTCTTGCCATTCCCTTCTGGCCTGCAAAGTTTCTGTTGAGAAATCAGCTGACAGTCGTATGGGTACTCCCTTGTAGGTAACTGAGTTTCTTTCTCTTGCTGCTGTTAAGAGTCTCTCTTTGCCTTTTGCTCTTGGCATTTTAATTATGATGTGTCTTGGTGTGGTCCTCTTTGGATTCCTTTTGTTTGGGGTTCTCCGTGCTTCCTGGACTTGTAAGTCTATTTCTTTCACCAGGTAGGGGAAGTTTTCTGTCATTATTTCTTCAAATAGGTTTTCAATATCTTGCTCTCTCTCATCTTCTGGCACCCCTATAATTCTGATGTTGGTACGTTTGAAGCTGTCCCAGAGGCTCCTTACACTATCTTCATATTTTCGGATTCTTTTTTCATTTTGCTTTTCCGGTTGGGTGTTTTTAGCTTCTTCGCATTTCAAATCTTTGCCTTGATTCTTGCGGTCCTCTGGTCTGCTGTTGGGAGTCTGTATAATATTCGTTATTTCAGTCCATGTATGTTTAATTTCTAGTTGGTTCTTTATCATAACATCGAGGGTCTCATTAGATTTGTTGAGGATCTCATTAAGTTTATCAGCAGCTTCTAGACAGTTCTTGAGAGACCTTAAAAGTGTGTTTCTAAACTGAATATCCTCCATTGACAGTTTTGTCCTGTTTCTTTGTCTCCGCATTTTTTTATGTTTTCTTGGTGCACCCCCTAGTGGTCTTTGTGTGCAGTCCTCCTATAGTTAAGCCTTGATTGCTGTAGTTAATACTAGGGGGATTTGACCTCCAGGCCAGCTGGTTGTGAGAATCAGCTGTGTCTGCAGTGGGAAAACTTCTGTCCTCTAGGGAGGTTCTAATCTAGCCTTTGCCTGAGGCTATCTGGCAAATGGCTCTGCGCAGGGCTTGGGCGGGGCGGGTGGGTCGCTCGGGCTCGGGATCAACAGGGTGGGCTGGAGAGAGCAGTTATGGCGGCTCTCAGTTCTGTCCCTAGGGGCTCTGCCTCACAGAGTCCCAGCAACCGCTGCAAACCTCAGAGAGAAAGCTGCCTTCGAGTTCCGACCGAAGCCAGACAGTCCCGCTTCTCCCGTTTAAGTCTGGGTCCCTAGAGACTCACCTGGATCTGGAGCTCAGAATCTGAGACTCCCTCCCGATTGAAAGCACCAACCGCGCCCTCCGCCACCAGCCCGCTCCGTGCGCGCGCACTCCACACCTGAGTATTTCACTTCAGCACTGCGCCTCCTCTGAGTCTGGGTATGATATTCTCTTTCCTCCTAGTTGTAGAATTTCCACTCAGCCAGCCTTCCTGTGGTTCTGGATGATGTCCGTTCCGTCTTTTAGGTGTGTTTTGATTTGGTTGTTCAAGGCAGCAATCTCCGGTATTAACCTATGCCGCCATCTTGGTTCAGGAAGCTCATTCCAAGTTTTCGAATTCTGGGAGAATTTATTGATGTGCAGCGTGCAAATCAGCCCTTGGCATATGTGTGCACAGATCTTTATGCTGTTCATCACTGACAAGTTCTGCCAAGGGAGAAGACACATTCCATTTCATTAACTCGTACTTCGTGAGCCATGTAGATGTGAGAAGGGAATGTTGAGGCTGTCTTAGCCTCCCCCAGCTGTATGCAGCAAGGATGGGCAGTGCCACACAGCAGAGCCTGCTCCTGCTGAACGCTAATCCACATGCTGCTTCAGTTGGAGGAGAAATGTTTCTTAATCACTGTGGAAGGAAATAGCAAAAATTGTCATTGATAAATGGCAGCCAATAAATATACATTACTTTAGTATCCTGGCCAAAGAAATGGGGAGCAAATACATAATTCTGCATTTCCACACTGACGTGTATTGGCTGTTAGGAGTGCTTGCATGAGTTCTGGAAATGAAAGAGAAGATAAAGCATATTTTCCATGACACTGAGAGGCAGGGCTCAAGTGAAATATCTCAGGTGTACACGTCTCTCACTATTGAGAGACAACTGTTACCACAGTTAAAATAACATTTTACTTTTTATCCCAATGGAGACAAGATAATCTAAATGTTGTTTGTGCCTCTTGTGTTAAGAAATCCTTCCCTTCCCTGAGAGTATAAAGATTCACATTTTTAATTCAAATAGTTTTACAGTTTTCGTATTAAGGTCTTTAATTCACCTGGAATCCACCATTCTGTTTGGCAAGGGTTTAAAAATGTTTTTCAATATGGAAACCAGTTATTTCAGTACCATATGTTGAATAATTTGGTACTTTCCCCACTAGTTTGTGACTCCATTTTCA